GGTTAGATAGCATCACTGAAGCAATGAGCATGAAACTGAGCAAACTCAGGGAGGCAGTGAAGGACAGGAAGGCCTGGCGCAATATGGTTCATGGGGTCACGAAGAGTCGGACACGACTTAACGACTGAACAATCGAATTCATACATCCCAATTAGCCATGGTTTACTTATACTTGGCTTACTGAATAAGCCACTATTGGCTGGGTTCATACATCACACAGCTTAAATCAAGCAACCCACATGATGGTTTAACAGGATGTGTGAACTCGGCCGGTGTTTACACATTATAATGCAGTAAATTGTGACATCCTACTGAGCTGTTCTCTTGGGTTTGATTCTACCTCCAGGAGCAATTATTTTGCATTTAGCTCCCATTGGAGTTTGCTCATACTACTTTGTATTGTGAAAGAATCAGAATTAACAATCCTTCAATGAACCCATCCTTGATGTAACTCACTAGTTCAGCATGATTTGATTTGGAATTAGAAGTGGGCAAACTGAAAGTAGCTGGCAAAAAACGAGTTCTGGAGTTTTACAACTGCACTTCAAACCAGGAAGGAAGGAAAGTTGGTTTCATATTGCTGTATCTAAATCTTGGTTCTCAAACTGTGATTAGAGCCCCAAGGAGGTTTTGGTTCCTCGCCATATGAATATTTTACTCTCTGTGTGTATGTGTGTGTATGTGTATTCTATTGTTGTTTTAAACATGTTTATGCATGTAAGATTGTAAGCCATTCAGAATTGGTTGACAATTGGAGCAGCATGTAAGCCCAAATAAATCATAATGTAAATAAATATCTTGACACTTACCTATATACTATATTTGTCATGGTGACCATGCTCAAAGATGCTTACATTTTTAAAATATATAATATTACATCACATGGCATTTTCTAACTAAATAACAATTTAAAAACATGGAAAATATAATCCAAATGTTCTCAATAGCCATCTTCTCTAGATCTAATATGGTCTCTTAAAACTGAGGTGGTTTCATGCACCTTCAGCAGAGGTCCAGATGGAGGTAGACTAGCAACTATGGCTTACAGGACTCACAGCTAGACATCTACACAGCAGTCGGTAAGTGCTAGGATTGATAGAATGATCTTAAGTAGTTGGAAAAAAGTCATCACTGAAAGCCCTTTTAGTTGAGAGGGAAAAATTAGGACAAAGAAAAGGAGCAGTGCCACCTGACACACTGAATAAGCGCATGCCCAATGATCACACTTCACTTTTGTAACCTTTAATATTTATTTCCCTCCAGTGCCTTTTTTACCTTCAATGATACTAATCACCAAATATATAAATGAATGATCCCAAATCATGCAAGTCTGCCTTCTTATGCACCAAGCCTACTGAGATTTGTGAACTGCACAACATTTCAAGTGTGGGTAGTTAAGAATAGGTCATGTAATCCACTTGCCACAGGGAAGGACCACTCTTGCAAAGGGAACATGTATAAGATGATGGCACAGAGCAGTAGATCTGTAGATCAGGACTGGGGAGGTGGAAACCCAGGATCCCACATGTTGGATTTCTCAGGAAGGTCCCCAAATGCAACAGTAAATAATATGCATTTTCACCTAAAGAGTGAAAATGCCCAGATAATTACTAAGTCCAGTATTTAAAATTACCGTATTGATGCTTTTGAACTTTGGTGTTGGAGAAGGCTCCTGAGAATACTGTGGACAGCCAAGAAAACAAACCAATGGATCATCAAACAAATCAACCCAGAATGCTCACTTGAGGCACAAATGACCAGGCTCAAATTAACCCATTTCAGACACCTTATGCAAAGACTTAGCTCTTTGGAGAAAGCTGTAATGCTGGAAAAGGTGGAAGGAAAGGAAACAAGAGGATGACCAGCAGCAAGGTGGATAGAGTCAGTTACAATGGCAATAAGTGCACTATTGGAAGATCTGAAAGACCAGGTTAGGGACAGATTGTAATGGATGAAATCTATCTATGTGGTCACTAAGAGTTGACAGCAACTCGATGGCACATAACCAATCCCTCAAAACTACACCACTGCATACCAGAGCTTTGATTTCCACTAACAAATAATTCTTTCTAAGGCACTAATACACTAGTTCAGTGTTTCTCAACCTTGGCAGTTTTAAGATGTGTGGACTTCAACTCCCAGAATTCCCCAGCCAGCATGCTGGCT